ACTCATTCAATAGAGAGGATTTTAGAAATAAGTTAATAATGAGATCTAGTGTAGTATAAATAGATAGTACAAATAACATAGTTTTTAGAAGTAAAGAAAGAATTAAAAACTAGTTCTCATCTACTTGAGTAGAGCTGATAGCTTGTTTAGTAATAATTATTTTAGTACTAAATGAATATATAGTAAAAATAAGAACAGATAGTATCTGCATAATCTTTGCAATCAAAAGATATCTGAAAAAAGAAAAAGTATGAGAATAGCTAAAGTTTAAGAATAGCAATATTCTGTATGTAATTTAAAAAGCTTGCAAAAGCAAAGCATTACAACTAAAATTTATAAAAATCAAGAGCTATTCAGATGATACTTATAACAATCTAGCAGATACTTTAGCAAAAAAGAGATTGCAAATAGCCTATGCTACAAGATTAAACAATACTAGCAATAGTAGTATAAAGTATATACTAGAATGGAAAAAGCTAAATCTTGAAACTCCATTAAGAGTATTCATTAAAAGAGTAGTTCAAATAATATCTAAAGCAGAATGGACATGGCTAAGGAAAAAAAATAATAATAGATACTAATTAAGAATCTAGAAACAAAACTGAAAAGCTTTCAAAGAAATACTAGAAGGATATTGCATATAGTTCCAAAACTCTGAAGTAAACTATCTATATCTTTTCAAAATTAAGTATATTAAAAACTTTCTTTTAGCAATTAGAGTTCTAAATAGTAGAAAACCTTAGCTATACAAAGATAGTCTATGCAAAAGATGTGGTAGAGAAAATGAAATAATGGACTATCTAATTATATGTGAAAAAGCATACCAAGTACTTAAAAAAATTAAAAAAGAAGTATGAGAATGATTACAGAAAGATAAAAGAAAGAAAGAAGACTGGAGCTTAGGAGACCTACAAAAAGTCTTTCAATAAGAATACAAAAAGAAATCTAAAAAGAGAAAAGAATAGATAAGAAGAATCTTCTATAAAGAAGATGCAGAAAAAATACAGACATTACTAGGCTCTGAAAGAATGACAATGAGATTTTGAAGCCTTTTTTGGCATAATTAGTATACAAAGAAGTCTAAAAAAAATAGTATACCGTTCTGGATAAATGGATCCGTAACGAGCTAGCTGGCTTAAGTGGTTAGGTATTGCGGTGACGTTAGGTTGGATCTGTATGGGTTAATGAACAGAGTGTTTAAATAGGTAACTCACAGGCGGGTTACAGGTATGGCAGCATAGTGTAGAACCAATCAGGTGGTCTAATCGCCTGTGCGGCGGACTACTTAAATTAGACAATGACTAAAGTTGTATGTGTAGCTTGTTGTACACTCTTCATGTAATTATAAACAGTAGGGACCATCAATGTATATCCCGTATGCAATTCTAATAAAATTCCTTCGGCAATGTAAGCCACCTTAATAACACAAAAAAGAATTTATTAGTTATCTTAATGATTTTTATTAGCTTGTCTTTTAACTTAGCTATCTAAGTTATATTATTTATATAAGCTAAGACTTTTTGTTTTTAGTTTATTTTCTGAATTTTGTTATATTTAAGATTAGTTAACTACTTAAGACTCATTTTGTAATCTAGTTTTCTTTTGTTTTAAATTTTACATAATATAGATTACAAATATTATTTATATTTAAATATAAATATAAATAGATACAGAGACTAATTTAAACTATAATAAAGAATAAAATAGAAATTGCAATAAATAGTATTTGTAATCATAATAGATTAATAGAACTTGGATTAGATAATAAAACCAAATAGTTTATTATTTTACAGAGCTTATATTATATTTAAATTAAGAAGATAAAGTAGAAATAACTACTTATCTTAGATTAAAAGATATTTAGCTGAAATACAAGTTAAAATTTAGTTTACTTGATAATAGATATAAGTTTATTATGAGTAAAATTAAGAATAATCTAATATATAAAATAATTTAAAATATATTAAAACTAGATTTTAAATTTCAAGAAATGTATATGAGTACAAACAATCTAAAAGTTAGAGATCTAGATCTAAATAATATATTAGAAGAAAAAGTACTAAAGAAATTTATTAAAAGTAAAAGCTTAAATATATTTATAATAGATCAGTTAGTAGATAGAAGATAATTACTCTTTGTTTTAGTAATAAGTATATATATTAAGAGAATATAAAATAAGTAATTATAAGTCTAGTTAGTTGAAAAAAAAATACTAGCAAATAGTATTATAAGAGAACTAGATAAAAAGTTTAAACTAAAGAGTAAGAACTAAGAAATTATTAAAACAAGAAAACAAAAAATTAATAATAATAAGAAAAAAGAGAATAGATTATTATAAAAAAAAAAAACTTACTAATTATAGATAAAACAATTAAGAGTAGAGTATATGTAGATTATTTTTACTATGATCTGCATTGTATATTCTATTTTTAGTAAAAAAATGAACATATGCATATAATAAAAATTTTTCAAAATTTAATAAAAATTTATAAAATTTTTATAATATATATATTAAAATAGAATATATCTTTTTATAAAATTTTAAAATATATTAATTATAAAAAATTTGTACTTTTATATATCATGAAGTTTTCCTAGGTTAACCCAAATTTGCCTAGGTAGTACAAAATAACCTATTCTAATTAGTTAATTTTTGCAATTCTATAAGATAAATTTCATAATAAAAAATTATACACAATCTTTAAATTCTAATATATCGATGAGTTTTTAACCAATTTTAATAATTTTATTACTGATAGAATCACAAGAATCTACTCTACAACTTTATTTAGAAGCTTAAAATAAATTTAATTAATAAATTATTTTGTATTTTAAATTATAAAAAATATTTGTAATCGAGTTTATATATAATTTTAAAATAGTACACTCTACCCTTAAGAAAATAGAAAAAAAGTTCTCTTTAACATACTAGAAAGTAGAAGAATTAAATGATTGCTATTATATAAGTTTACAAAAATATAACAGATATAGTTTAGATAAAAGAAATAATATGTAATATATAATTAGCAAACATATAAGCAAATAGTATTAAGTAGTAAAAGAGATAGTCAGAAAAGAAGAAAATATAGCAGAGCTACCTATATTGCAGTATTTAAAAAAATATATTTGTACTATATACTGTATTATTTAATTATTTTAAGCTAACTCAAATTTAGTACAAAACTTATTATTACAATATAATCTTTATAATGCTTCAAGCAAAAAATTATATTATACAAGATATTTAGTCATATTATGAAATAATAATAAAAGCATATCGATATTTTAAAAAAAAACTTTAATTATATTTTTTTTTAAAAAAATTATTTGATTTAAAAAAGTCTTTAATTTATTAAATAATAATAAATTTAAAATTAGAAATTTCAAAACTTTTATTATTAATAAATATATATTAAAAATAGAACAAACCAAATTCGATAAAATAAATTTTTAATTTTTTACAGAAATGTAGAATACGATAAAAAATTTTCATCGATTTGGTTAGACAGTTGTCGACTCAGTTTGGAAAATTTATTCTGCCTTATAAACAAAGCTGCGTCTAAATTTTTTTTAAAGCTATAACGAAAATTTTTTTAAAAATTTTAGACGCAAACTTTTGTTTGTAGACAGGATAAGGGTAGTTACAAATATTACGTAATAGTTTTTTCCTATAGGGCTACCACCTCAGGTAAGTTAGTTTTATAATCAATCAAATTAAATATAATTAATATTAACATAACGACAAGATTTCTCTGACCTATCACTATCTCAAATTTTAAAAAAAATTTACGTAATACAAACTAATGAATTAGGAAAATTTAAGTGTGACAAATAATCACACTTTAAGGGATTTACAAAGGTAGCCAAATAATTGGAGTTTGGTGTGCAAGTGTTAAGGCGTGCGGCTGTTGCCAGCAGTCGCGGGTTCGAAACCTGGCATTTCATCGGGGTGAGCCAACAGCGATGGCCCAAGGACAAACTTCCCTCTTTTTACTACGATATAATAATTTTTTTTTTTTTTTAATGAATAAAATTATTTATTGAAAATATACTCTATTCAAAATACCATATTTTTTATTGTAATGTTTTTTTTATTGAACTATATCTAACATATTTTATAAAAATAAAATTTCAAATAAATTATACGTGATACTAGCAATAATATAATCTGTAATTTTTTATCCTATCATTTGGTTTTTGTTAAATTATAATAAGGAAGAAGCTAAAAAGTTAGTAGAGGAGGCGCCCTCAGAATATTAAATAATTCACTGCCCTAACCAATTCGATGAATTTTTTATACATGACTAGAATTATAAAAAAAAATTTTTTTTTATCGAGATTTTGGGATAGATTAGCTGTGGCTCATTAAACTAAGATAAAAAATTTAAGGGCTAACGCTAAGTTATTAACATTGTTATGTACTATATATATATATGTAGATGTAAATTTCATTCCCGTTATTATCGTTATTATTTAGTGCATCCAAAATCGTTTTCGATTTTCTTTCGTATTCTATATCAGGATATTCAAAATTTTATTAACTACTGTATTTCATTTTAGAAATTTTTATCACGGAAGTAAAGCCAGGCCATCCTATCGGTTGAGGTTACGCGGATTTGAGCTAAATTACACTTCTTTAATACCAGATATAACTATAAATAAAATTAATAAAGATTATTTTTTTTTTTTTTTAATATTAATTATTAGATTATATTAACTTCTAATATTGATCGATCACATTATCTTAACTTTACGCATACAAAGTCAATTTGTACTTATAATTGAGTTGAATTCGCCCATCTCCCGAAAAATTTTACTAATAGGATAACTTCCGACATCATTTCGTCAGATCAACTTTATTTCCCATTTCGATACTAATAACAAATCTCCCCCGGCATCTCATTTTCACCAATACCTCCTTTACGAAATTATTTATAATACATTAGTCTAAGATTATAGTTATTTGGCAAGTTTTTTTTACATGATGACGAAACCTGAAGATGAAAGAAGAAACTCAAGCAAATGATAAAGGCAGAATTATAGTTGGTTTGTGAAACCATTTTTTTCATAATGATGACTAGACCGTCAAAATCGAAAACCTCTGACAAATGAAAAATAATTTGCATTAATTTGTGATTAGACATACGATATGATTTTCATTAGATACATTACATATATGGTTAAGCATAAAATATAAATAACCTCAATATTTCATTTAATAAAATAGGAGAACTCGAAGAGTAAAAGAATTTGAATAAGAAAAATTTTCGTATTTTATTAATTTATTATACCTTGATACTGTATAATGAATGATGCGTACTTTCCTTAATCTCAACGAATTATTCATCTTTAATATTTTATACGTATACTCTATTGTGTTCATTTTATCCCACCAATGGTAACACCTTTTACTTTTAGTAAAGTAGAACCGCAACGTGTCGACAAATTTCAATATGTAATGTGACTTGTATAATTGAGAGCAACTAAACTAATTTAGAATTATGGTTTCAAAAAAATCAAGTTTATATGAAATGGCGTACATATTAACACGGTGTCTCTAATGCAAGATGATTAGGTAAATGTTATCGATACTAACTCTTGATGCTTTTAAAAAAAAAAAAAATGTTAGTATCTTTTTTTAATTAAAAAGATAAATATCAAGGAAGAAAATCTATTTATAGTAAAGAGACTATATAGTATACTATAATTTTTGAAGTTAGATCATTATTTTTATATAAAGTTATTAATGAATTATAAAAACACAATTGATAATAATATCAATAGATTGACCTTATATAAATTTAATTTTATAGTATTTATTTATTAATGAAACTGCATCATGAAAAAAATTATATTCTCCTCTATAAATTATTACTCTGCTTTTTATCTTTTTTAGGATTTCATCAATTAGAAGAGTCTCAGAAATTTCGTCTTTCGTTAGAGGTTTTGCTTTTAACCATTGGTTCCATATTTCACCGGGATCCCACAGTTTTGTTAGAGGATTTCATCTTTCGTCTTTCACCGGTTTTAGATATAATCTTTCGTCATTACATGATATAGTTTCTTCTAATAATCATCCTTCCTCACCACTGTATTCGACAATTAATGAATCAGAAGTAGCCAAATTTGGCCAATTGGCTAAAGAATGGTGGTCTCCAGACGGACCTGTAAAATTGTTACATAGTATGAATCCACTAAGGATCTCATATATTCGTAAACAATTATTTAGACATAATAATGAAGAATTAAATACAGGACAAGAAAGTGAATATGAGATAACATCATACGATGATCAAATTCCGTTTAAAGATTTACGAATTTTAGATATTGGCTGTGGTGGTGGTGTTTTATCTGAGGTACGATAATATTATTATATTTATAAGACATATATAAATGAATTATTATAAATTAAATTAAACGAATATATATAAACGTAATTAAATTGTAAAGCCATTGGTTAGATTAGGTGCATCAGTTGTAGGGGCTGATGCGTCTCCAGAAAATATTCAAATAGCAAAATTACATGCTCGAAAAGATCCAAGATTATATTCTGGGCCAGGAAATCTTGAATATAAATCTATAACTGCAGGTATTATATTTAAACTAAATTTACTTCAACTAAATTTAAAATGATTTATCTCATCTTTCTTTTTTCAAGAGAAATTGTTAGAGAAAGGGGAATCATTCGACATCGTATGCGCAATGGAAATTATCGAACACGTAAATCATCCGGCAGAATTTCTTAAAGCATGTACTGAATTAGTTAAGGTACTTTTCATATCTCTTGTATATTTAACAAGAATTTTAAATTACTGTATATCAGTGATGTTTTGAACATCAGTATGAAGATAAGATTTTATTATCAATCGAAGACGCAATTTTTCAAATTTTTTGCTACACAGTTATCTAATTTAATTGGCTAACTCAAATACATGATTTGTATAACATGTAGCCTGGAGGTTACTTATTCCTTTCAACAATATCTCGTACTCCACTTTCATATATATTAACAATTTTATTAGCCGAACGTATATTTGGAATAATACCAAATGGGACACATGATTTTAAAAATTATTTAAGACCTGATGAATTACAACAAATTATTGAAAAAAATCAAAATAATGATGATTTAAATTCTGAAGTAATTGATAAATCCATTTATGGAAAGAAATCAAGTAAATGGGGATACGTAACAGATATTACAGGAATTGGATTAAATCCAATTACAGGGAAATGGTTCGAATTTAATAATTGGGTACCAAGAAGAATACAATTAGATGTAAATTACTTATTAACCGCAAAAAGAAATTGATAACTGATACGTAAAAATTTAAGATCTACTTTTTTTTATACGTAGTAAAAAAAAAAAAAAAAAAAACTAGTATATTTATAGTTTTCGATATAAATAAGTACCTATATTTGGTTATAGGTAAATTTGATTTATTCATTGTTTTCTAAATTTGGATTAGAATCAATTTTTTTTTTTTTTGGTTTCTTGAATACTATATGTTACCAAAAAGAATGAAAGCTTTTTATTATTATTTTATTTTTTTCTAAAAATTTTAAGGTGTTTAAATACATATATACTTCTAAAACCTTTTTTGAAACCTAGAATTTTAGAAGTGAAATGAGTAATTGTTATAATTTTTTTTTTTTTTATGCGTAATAAAGTATAAAGCGAATCATAAGATAATGATAAAAAGATAATTGTGACTTGTGTGAAGAAAATGAACCAGAAAGAATACAATGTTACCCGAATAAATACATAAATAAAAACCAGTGCTTTTTTTTCGACAAAAATAAAAAAATAATAAAAATTTAAGTTATATAATCACAATATCAGTTTCCAATCTTAAAAAGTTTATAATTTTTTTTTTTCATTTTTTTTTTTTTTTTTTTTTTCTAAAATTTTTCAAAATCTTCTAACTATAGAAATAATTTTTATCTCAATGCCTTCTTAAATTCCCAAATTGAAATAACAACAAAAAGATTTGAAAAATTATTTAACATTAAGAAAATATAGGAAAATATTTCACACACAATCTACCACATAATCATTTCAAAAAGTCTCTTAAAAATTGATTTAAATTTATATCCAAAAAATAAGATCCCAAATTTTATCAATGATAATGTAACAGAACAAATAAGAAGAAAAAAAAAAGAAGGTATAATTTTTTTTTTTTTCTTTTTTGTTATAGCAACCTTTTCTCGTGAAAATATATATATATATATATAAAATGAAAGTTATGTAAAGGTAAATACAAAATTTGAAAAAAAAATTGAAAAACATATATTTAGAAGTGTAACATATCGACTCTATCACCAAACACTTGATTTGTATTAAACAATGCAAATAAGATTCGTGCAATATGTGATATGTGTGCAAGAGGATAGGGGGAAAAAAAAATAATAATAATAATACAATATAATTTGTACAATAAGTATTTATCTTAGGCAAAATTGTGAATGTGGAAAGTTGTTTATTTATGATATGCTTTTTGAAGGAACGATGTAAAGTGTGGCGTATGAAAGACGCATTATCTAAATTTAAATTTTAAAAAAAAAAGTATCACATTGAAATAAATCGTATGATAAGAAAAATAATCTAAAAAACTCTGGTAATGTCACCAATTATTGCAGATTAAGTCTAAAGAAAAAAAAATGAACTCCCCTTAACAATAAATGTCATTAGCAAAATAGAAAATCCATATATGTTCGTATAAAACACTTTGTTATTGTAACCAAGCGTATTAAGAAAAAGGAATTGCCAAGATCAAATAAAATCATAGGTGAATATAATTTTTTATTCTTTTTCCTGTTTTTCTATTTTGTAAGGTGTGGAACTAATGTGTATTTGAGTTAAGGATTCCTCCTTATCGAAATTCGAATGATGGGAAAGAGTTGTCTGCACAATGATGCAGCTTTAATTCCTGGAACCTATAAAATATTCATATATTAATAAAATGTAATATGCGAAGTAATAATCATTGATTTAGTGTCAAAGTAAGAAACCGTAAACAAATCACATGACATTTAAAACATTGACGTAAATAAAATAAATTGTTTCTTACCGTTCCGAGGTTTTGTGGAAATAGAATCCAGTAATAATGCCTGTGCTTAATTGATAGCAAATATAATAGAATCCAGCGAAACTAGCACCATTAATGGTCTTGACTCGGTGATCAGGAACAAGGAAATGCTCCTTCCATCTCATAAAAATATAATCTTTATTGTGAAAATCATAAACAAATCCATCTTTCTTCATATGCTTTTGGAGAGGACGGAATGCAGGGAAACGAATCTGTTGAATTTTACATATCAAATATTAAGAAGAATAAGTATTAAAAAATTATATTTATATAAATAAAATTAAAATAATAAAATTATACCCAATGTTGTACGTCAACTTTGTCATCAGCATCCCATTTCTTAGTGAGAAAAGAATATTTGCGTCCAATAATTTCTGCCTCAAAGAAAGTGGTTAATTCAGGATAGTCTTCTGTAAGGCCTCTAATATGAAGGTAGCCACATAAAAATGACTCTGAAAGATCAACGTGCTGAGATGACCAAAGAAAAATTAGCTAATTTGTATAAAGAGTTTCTTTTACAGATAAGAATAGGAGTTTCGTATAAAAATTGATAGAACTATAATATGTAAATGCAAAAATCAAATGCGATTTAACGCAAATAAACAATTTTAGCATTTTCTTAACCAACAACTCATTTGTCAATCATATTAATATCAATATAAACACATTGATGCTCTATCAACTCCTAATTTCCTTTATCTACCACTTTTTCTAATCAATTCTGATCTATCTTAATCATCTTTTAAAATGTATTTTTTTTTCTAGGGCTTACCTGGATATGAACAGCTACATCATAACTACTTCTCCCACTCCTTTGTTCACCTCTAAATTTTGAACCCGAATACAGTGAGCATGTAGTGGTTGGCATTAACCTCACAGTCGAGATCTCAGTTGTAAGAGAAAGACGACGTTTCCTTTTTTGTAATAGTTGTTGTTGCTTAAAATGTTCTTGATATTTTTTTTTGCTGTTCAGCATAGTGCTTATGAGATGGATCGAGACAAACTCCATCGACGCACATACATTTGTCCGGCAAACCGTTAATGTTACCGTTGATGGGGCTCGTTGTTGAAGCAATTACGGGGTTTGAGAATACTGGCATTGTGTGGTTATTAAACAATAGAGAGAGAGAGATTGCGAATAAAAGAATTGAAAATAAAAAAATATGAAACTACTCTAAAGTTGATATACTGGTGATGGTTCGGGTGGCGAAGTTTTTTTTTTTTTTTTTTTTTTTTTTTTTTATATGTATATATATATATATATGATACCGATATAGATTTTTTTTTTTTTTTTTTTTTTTTTTTTGTGAAGCACAAAAATCAAGTGAAGCTCAACTAATGTCTACTATTGTTGCAGATATAATATTACTTTATAAGGTGTTAGTACTATCAAGACTAGAGTATGTATATGAGCTGATAAAAAGGGGCGAAAATAAGGAAATACGTTGTTAAGCCAAAAAAAAAAAATAGATATGTATGTATGGAGATTGAAAAAAAAAAAAAAAAAAAAAAAAAAAAATCGCCAGACGAATAGGGATATCGATATGATAAAGAACCAAAAAAAAAAACAAGTTTATTTTCTAGATGTCGCGGCCAATGAAAATTATATACGGAAAAATTTGTCGAGCGAAAATAATATTAAAAATATAATATTTCTATGATTTAATACTATAATTTAGGTGCGAGAATTAGATACAAAAGGAGAGGTAGGAGAAGTGAATAGAATTGTTGGTAAGGAGGATAATTAAAGTTGAAACTATGAGAAAAAAAAAGTTCTTTAAAAAAAAAAAAAAAAAAAAAGAGATGTTTGGGCGTTAACAGTAGAAACAATGATTTAAATGTATTTATTTGCAACAAACAAGAAAAATAATAATCATGTGACAGTATGCCTCAAAAAAACATTTCGAAAGTAATCCTGGATTGTTAACTGTCACAGAGCGGGTATAATAAGAAAAGATAAGACATTATCTTTATAATTGACAAATAATGAATCATTGAACCTTTTTTGTACTCACGTAATCACCTGCCATTCTCTTTTACTTTTTTAAAAGTGTCATTACCGTTTCATTATCTTTAACCTGAATTACCTTGAAGATGCAAACATAAGTTCGGTGCAACGTCGCATCTATTAATCATATAGCAATCGTTCAAGACAGTAGATTATTCTAATTGTTCGGCCGTCACTTCAATTGTGCATCCTATCTCTTTGTGAACTCGTTGATTATTTTAAGGTTTGAGTGTTACAAGATGTCAGATCGTGCAGTAATGGGTTAAGATTTCGATTAAAATGTTCGATCTCACGCAATATAAAATTCCCATGGAATTAATAAAAAGAATTACTCTCGTTGGTTTATTATTTATATGTATATGTAATATTGTTTCATGAATAATCTTTCCCGCATTACAGTATTAGTCGGGAAGTTCAATGCGCACCAATCATCATTTGAAAGATAATCAAATTTTAACATGTGATTTCACCTCGGAAAAATTTTGAAAACAACTCAACCAATCAAATTGTAATGCCTGAAATGTAGTGAAAACTAGAGGTCAGAAAATTCTGATCCATGTCAAATAGGGTTATTATACTCCAGTGTAGTATACGTAGGAGTATAAACCACTCCATGCTGTGATTTATCGTTATAGGCCAAACCGCTTTCGGATTAATTATGGTATAACGATAAAAGTCAAATAGAGTAGTTTATGGAGTTACTATCACTACTACTCCGGATTAAAAATATATTGTATAGTATATAAAATTAGCCAATACAACGAAAGTATACAATACATAATCTGGAGTAGTAAATCCAGTATAAATTATAGAGTTTAATTTGGAGTATTGACACCAGTGTTTAATATCTAATGTTCTCAGTGTCCTCAAGAACATTAAAATATTTTTTGAGAACAAAATATTTAAAAATTATGTTCTTATTTGAGAACATAAAATTTGTATTATAAAATAATTTTTTGAGAACATTAAAAATCTTTCTGAAAACCTAAAATTTAAATTTTATGTTCTCAAAAAACAAAAAAAAATTTCAGATATTTAACACTGATTGACACTGGTGTGGTGGTTTTAAGCGATACTCTAGCAGAGTATACACCATACCGCCCTGTAAAAACCCTATTGTCAAACCCAGACCTGACCCTGGTTATGACCCAGGTCAAAATGTTATATAACTTCTTTTAAGTGTGTAACAATTCTAGATATGCCGAGCCAGCATTGTAATCATACGTATCAATTTTTTTATAAAATATTAGTGTTAGTTAATTTTTTGTTCTCAAAATTTTAGTGATCCGGCTAGCCGGTAAAGATTTTATATTATAAAATTTTTTTTATATAACGATAAGGCTATACAAAATTAAATTTTTGGTTTTTCATAACATAAAATTTTAAAAGTAACCTGGCAGCCTGACTTTTTATTTTAAATTATAAAAAAATTTATTTTTTTTTTTAGAGAAAAATATAAAAACATACAAAAAAATTTATTAAAAAAAACTGACCCGGTAACCTTACTTTGGTTTGGGGTCAAATTTATTACTTACTAAACATCAGCGGACTTTGAATATTGCATCACATAAAGTGACAATTAATTTTCGGGATTTTGACCCCAAACCTCTGACTTTTTATTTTAAATTATAAAAGATTTTTTTTTCTTAGAGAAAAATATAAAAACATACGAAAATTTTTATTATGATAAAAAAAACTGAGATTTTTTATAATTAATTATGTATGAAAAATTTTTTTAAAAGATCTAAAAAACTGGTTATAATAGCCAAGGTATTAATTTTATATAGTCTAAGCTAAATTTTTAAAAAATTTTTATATAAATTATTTGTGGTTATAAAAAGTTTATAATATGGGCTAGGTGCTGGAGAAAGGGACCAAATTGACAAAAAATAGATTTTGCGAAAAATTGATTTTATATTATAAAATCTATATTAACTTATAGGAAAATACAAATTTCAAAAGATTATAATGTAAAATTTTATTAATGCACCAGTATTTCTTTCTTAAGTGAAAAATGTTTCTGAGCTAATTTTAAATTAGTTAAGCTTAAAAAATTCATTTTGAAAAAATTGTCAATTTGGTCCCTTTCTCCAGCATCTAGCCTATATATTTAATTTATCTGTTATAATATTTAAAGATGCAATTATACAGTATAAAAAAAATTACTACATACGATTCACAGACTATGAAATTCATACTTATTTCAAAAAAGCTTTAATCTTTTAAGTTAGGATTAGAGCTAAATTAAGAGGTTATATCTATAGTAAAATTAATAAAGAATTTTTTTATATAATTAACCAATCAGATTGCAAGATCTCTGTATAATAAATATAAAAAAAAATTTTAAAAAAATTAAAAAAATTTAAAATCATTAATATCTTAAAATTTTATTATAAAAACTTATTTTATATTATTAGATAAAAGTTTATAGTATTTAATTTTATATAAAGTGTCGTCAACTAAAAGAGTTTATTTTTATATTTTTTAAAAAAATAAGTTTTTATTAGATTCATATATATTTTGACATGATTGATATTTTTCAATTATAAATGAAAGTTGATTTGTATAATAAAAAAATAGAGATAATATAGAAGAAAAATTACACAAAGTTAAGTATATTATATGATTATTTAATAATTATCTGTTACTTTTAACTAATTAAAATTGTGAAATTTGATTTTTTTTTTTTGAAATTCAGCAGTCAGGCCACAACTTTATTTAAAATTTTTGTAAAACAAAAACTAACTAAAGACTAATCATAAACTCTATACATGGCAGTGTTTTCAGTTTTCTAAAGTGTAGCTTCTCCAGTTTCCATACGAACCTGTGAACGACCTGTTATAATAAGTATTCCTCTCTCTTTATTCTCTCACATATTTCAATGCTTTGATAGTAAAAATCAATAGCGTGAAACTCACAGCCTGTCCTAACTGCAATAGCAAGTTCCTAATTATCTTTCCTAAAAGACTACCTTAAAGAAAAAATAAAGAGAAACCTAACTATAACAATAAGAACTAAAAATAAAAATTGCATAGATTTAAATAGCAACAATCTATAACTACTATCTATATAAGTAAAAACCTGCTACAGGAAAAAATACTAACGTAGAAGTAATACAAAAGGAAATAAAAAGATATAAACAAAGAAAAAAAAAGAAAAAGGTTGCCTTTTAGCCTGAACTAGGAACAAAAATATTATGTTATAGCAATATAAGCATATCTCATATAATTTCTAACCGAGCTCCATTTTTCAATTAATCTGTTCTGTACTTTAACTGTATTTTTCAGAGACTGGACGCATATAGTTACTTATGTGTAGTACAATAAAGATCCAAACAGACCAATTTGTCATGTGATTGCTTTCTCCGTAATAATTCAAAAATAGTAAGGATAAACAAAGATTGTCATTTACAGAAAGAAACCTAATTCTCTATTTTTCAAAAAAGAAAAATAGAAAAAAGAGAAAAAAGGAAAAACTATAGAACTTTGGTATAGAGAGTTTATTCAGGTAGAACCAAACATCATAAGCCAGAAGAGGGAGTGTATTGCTACTTAACCTAATCTAAGTAGTTTAGTGAGTTTATCTACAATATCTCTACAAGTTATCTAGTAGGCCAAGAAAAAACTAAGACCTGCTAAGGTTAGTAGCAAAGCTCTAGTAGGCTACTTACAAAACTAGCAGTAATAGTTCAAAGACTGTATTCTATCTAGTTCAGGACGTTATCCCTCACGCTGTTCAATATTTTTTCCTTGTGAGGTAGTTGAGGTTATTTCTTGTAATATTTTTCTGTTTACTCCATTTCAGTTCCAGTAATCGTCAGAAAGAGTGATGATGTGTAAAATTTGATTAATTCAAATCAGTTCAAAAATTAAAACACATAATTAAACTTAATTATCTCAAAATGAGATATATGAAAAATAGGTCTTTTTAGTTAACAACACTTTATATATACAGTAATCTTTAATTTTAATTCTAATATAACAAATCGTATAGCTTTCTTAATATACTATTAGTAACAGAAATATAACTCTTTAGAAACTTTAAAAAGCAGTATTATAGAAGTAGATATAATTCTTTTTATTATTAAAGAAT